TACTTACTACTACTACTACTACTACTACTACTACTACTACTACTACTACTACTACTACTACTACTACTACTACTACTACTACTGCAAAGCTGGGCGAGGGCTGCTAAAACCGTGGCTGCCAAAACAAGAAGCAAAAACTACTTCCCGGAACGAGGCGCGGCCCGCGAAGCAGTCGCCGGGCTTCTTCCCGGAAGGGCGAAGACAGCTTCCCGGAGGGCGATGCTAGCAGCCACGGGATTCAGCAGCCCATTGCCCGGCTTCCGGGTGTTGTTTGGCCCTCTGCGCGCGGAGATCGGGAGGACGCTTCCGAGCCCTAGGACCGTCAAACAACGACGCTGCATGTGATCGTTGTCTTATTCGTTGTGATGCCGAGCGGCGCGGGCCCTCGTACCCCGCCCCCCTCCCCCCCCGGATGGAGCAGATCTTGGCTGTTTTGGGCGCCTGTTTCGATCAGGTGGAGTCTCCCCCATTCAGAGCGCACTGCTGCAAACAGTCGCGCTAAGCAGAGATCCGGAGCAAGACTGCCCCCTCCCCCCCCCTTCGCTCAATGTCGAAACGCCGAATCAGAAAACGCTCACCATGAACATCGTCAGCGGAACTCGAACCCTACTCTCGCCGATCCACTGCTCAGGCAGCTTGATGGGCGGCGAGGCTAGGGTTCGGAATTCGTCGAAGACGTGGCGATCTCTGACAGCTGTTTTGGCCGGTCTGCCCAGGCTCGGGGGCTCCTGGGGGGCCCTCCTCGGGGAGGTTAGAGGTTAGGGAAACAAGCAATGACATAAACATAAAAACTCGGAGGCCCGCGCGGATTTCTCGGATCGGCGTTGGACCCCCCTCCTTGGCGCGCGGAGCGCGCCAGGGGCGGCGCCGGGGGCGGCGCCAGGGCGCTCCAGCGCCGATCCGAGAAATCCGCGCGGACCTCCGAGTTTTTATGTTTCTGTTACTGTGGGCACCTCCTTGGCATGGCCCTGGGGGGGGGATCGGGAGCTCAGCGCCCCTCGTATCTGTGAGTCAGCAGGGTCGGTGACCGAACCACGTGGGGGAAGCGACGGCGGAGCGCGGTCCAGGAGCGCCCGAGGGGGGGGCACGCTCTGCTCTTGACACCGGCGTCGGGGAAGCGTAAGACTCGAGTAAGTCAGGAGGGAAAGAAAAACACAGACACAATTAATCGTCGACTCCCAGGAAATATGGGAAACTATGGGAAGTGGGGGGAGAGACGAAAACCCAGAAAATATAGGAAAATATTGGGGATTGTGTTATCTGTGTGTATTGATTTGTGTGTCCCAAGGCCCCTTCAGTAAGCGGGACCTCGGGTTAGAGCCGAAGTTTTTTGACGAGCGTGTCCCGGATTTTGACGGTCCCGTTTTCGTGGGATGTCTGCCGTGGGGGCTCGCGCCGAATTGCAGACTTGGTCGCGCAATTTTCATGAGAGCCCCGTCGGGCGAGGCCGAGTCCCCCGTACCCGAGTCCTACGTCTCCCCGACCGTGCCCTCCCCTGTTTTCATACAGGCGGCACGGATTCGTAGGTCGACACTGCCAGGTCAGAGGGTACCCTCGTGTCCTGTGCCTTGCGACCCATGCCTCCTGCAGTTCCGTGGCAGCGTGGCCCTCGGAAGGGTCTCGTGTCCTCCCGCGTGTCCTCTCCAATCGGGTCCGACTGTGTGGCTGTGCCTCCGCGGGGACGCCTCGTCGCCACGGCGGGGCCGCACCCTCGGGGGGAGGTCGGGAGCACCCCGTTGAGAAGCGCCCGCTGGGGGCAGCCTCGCCTCCCCGCCGCGCCGCGCGCGCCCCGCGGCGCTCGGCTCTGGAGCTCGACGTGGCGGCATCCCACCGAGGGCTCGATGCTTTCGACGGCGTCCTCCCCCTCCTGTCCTGCCTCTCCCTGCCCCCCGCCCCCCGAGGAGAGCGATGTGTCGAAGTCTTGTTCGGTTGCGGTCGCCAGCCGGTGCGCCTCTTCCTGAAAGTGTCCTGGCTTTTTCGTGTCCTGGTCTGGACATGCGCCTCCCGCCAGTGGCACTTCTTCAGCCGATGTGTTGTCAGGAGACGGCGTTCCTGATTGATCGAGGTGACCCAAAAGGAGGTCCAGCTGAAGGGGGGTGGTGCAATAGGTTTGGGGCAATCGTATTGCAAATGCATTTCGCCAGAGAATTGTCTTGCATTGCATTGCAGGTAATGTATGGAGCGCGAAAATACAGCAAGACATCTGCGTCCCGACATGTATCGCACGCCCCGAATGCATTGCAACCCCAACTTTATCGCACCAGATCTGTTGCACCACCCCATTGTCGCTGGACCCCCTATGGATGAGGGGCCTCGGACTCCTCGGCCTCAAATGTACTGCAACTCCGATTGTCCGTTTCGGTTCTCGAGAGGGCGCCGCGGCCGTTATTTTCCAGGCTTGCGCCCGCCAGGTTTGGGCCCGAGGTCGTCTTCACTAAACCACGTTTTACCAAAGGGAGGTCTGTCCATCCCCGAAGGGAGGGGCCTCGGACACCTCGGCCTCTCCCCCAGGGCCGGCGCTTTGTGTGCATCCCGAGCGTTTTTTTTTTTTTTTTTTTTTTTTTTTTTTTTTTTTTTTTTTTTTTTTTTTTTTTTTTGTTTTTTGTTTTTTTTGTTTTTTTTGTGTTTCTTTGGCTCTGCCCGGCGGCACGCAGGGCCCGGGCAGAGACGACGAGAGTGCAGAGCAGCGCAGCCTCTGCTTACGCTGAAGTCGGGTCTGTCCCTCGCATACAGGAGGAATGTTCAAAAATAGTAGACAAATAGTCTGGGGACGTTTTTTTTTCTGCTTTGCTTTTTTGTTTGTTTTTTGGTTTTTGTTTGTAATACAATGTTTGAACATGTTTGCGTATTTGGGGGGTATCTTCAACTTTTCGCCCCAAATCCGCCTGTAGGGGGACACGCCCGACTTCAGCTTACGCTTGTGTCGCTCTGGGTGCCCAGGTTATGAGCCAGGCACGGCCGAGGGGAGCCGGGAGTCGGCCCTCGTGATCCCCAGCTCTCTCTCGGGACGATCGGAATGGGCAACGGGAAAGAATGGGTACAATGCCCAGCAGCAGTTCCTGTGCATTTTGAACGGGGCTCTGCCCAACAGCGGCCGCTGTCGGTTTGGGGCAACATTTGCTGTTGGGCATTGTACCCATTTTATCCGTACCCAGTCCCGGCGTCCAGAAGGTCTCAGGTGGAAGCGTGTTATCAGGCCGTGTGTCGCTGTGCGTGGCAGGCCTTCGCCTACAGCTCCCCACAGGCATTGGCCCTGCCCGTTTCCAGGCACCGATTGGCAAGCGTCGTACGCCATGAGGGTATCGGTATGCATCGCATCTCGTCCGTGGCAACATCCTCGTCTGAACACGCTGCCAAAATCTGGATACGATCTCTTTATGCTACCCAGGCTCAGCAAGGAGCAAGTGGCCCTTCATCGTGATTACGAACCCCATCCAAGGAGTTCCTTCCCGAGGGCTCTTCTTCGCCCCGCCTACGTGCGACCTCGCCAGCTGACGGAGCAGGAGAGCAAGAAGAGCGCCCCCCCCGCTTAGATCTTCAGGAGGGAAAGAAACACACAGACACAGTTAATCGTCCACTCCCAGGAAAATATGGGAAATATGGGAAGTGGGGGGAAGACAGAAACCCAGAAAATACAGGAAACTAGGGGGAATCTTCTTATTTGTGTGTATTTGTTTGTGTGTCCCAGGGCCCCTTCAGATCTGCTGGCCACCCTGGGTGCCCGGGCTGCCAGCCACGCACGGCGGTGCCACTTTCCGGGAGGCCTGGGCACCTCCTGAGTGCCTCCGCTGCCCTGCTGCACCCGCCGGAAAAAAACGCAGCACGGGCCGTGCTCGAAACATCCGCGTCAACACGATGCGCGCTGGCTCCCAGGAGCTTAGTGGGCCTCCTCTCCCCTCCTCCTCCTCCTCCTCCTCCTCCTCCTCCTCCTCCTCCTCCTCCTCCTCCTCCTCCTCCTCCTCCTCCTCCTCCTCCTCCTCCCTCCTTCTCGTCGTCGCTCGCCCCGCCGCTCGAGGGCGGCACCTCCTGGCAAGCCCAACGATTTCGCCAGAGGCCCCCTTAGCGGGCCCTGGAAACGACAGGGCCGTTTTTTTACCGGTTCCGTTCTGCCGGGTTTCGGCCGCTTCCGACGCCGGTTTGTGACCGGTTCCGGCTCCGTCCGGTTCCAATCCTGGAGCCGTTTTTTTGCCGTTTCCGGTCGCCGTTTTTTGCCGTTTCCATTTTCAAGGGACATTTTTCTGGAAACGGTGGAAGAAAGGCCCTGCCGTTTCCGGGGCCCACCAAGCCCAGGAGGCCCGCACAAAGGGAAAACCGGGGAAGGGTAGAGGTATCGGTGCTCGCAGGCGGTGTTTCTATCCCAGCCCTGGCATCTCGACGAAGATTGGCACCGCTCAGGAAAGGAGGGAAAGCCTGGGATATATTCCTAGGGAGCTACTCGGACGCACCCTTATCGAGGAGGGATGCCACCCCTCGTATGTCTTAGGGCTGCGCCCGAAATTTCTGGTCCATTCGAAAGCCCCACGACGCATGGGATAGGGGTCGACATATCCCTTGTTAGAGGCCCACAAGATGGGAAAACCCGGGAAGGGTAGCGGTACACCAGGGCGGCTCCTCCTCCTCCTCCTCCTCCTCCTCCTCCTCCTCCTCCTCCTCCTCCTCCTCCTCCTCCTGCTCCTCCGAGCACAGGGGCGGCTCGGCCTCAGGCTCGCCGCCTCCGCCTGCGGCGGCCGCCCCCGGCGGCTGAAGCGCGGCGCCTTCGCCCCACGGTCCTGGCCGCGCAGGCAGCGCGCCCGCGCGTCCGGGGCCCCGACGACGCGCCGCAGTAGCGGACGCCGAGGTGGCCGACCCTAGGCCCGCAGGGGGTCCCTCCTCCTCCTCTTCCTCCTCCCCCTCCTCCTCCTTCTTCCTTCTCCTCCTTCGCCTCCTCCTCTCCCCTTCCTACCGCCCCCTCCTCCTCCCATCCTCCTCCTCCTCCTTCTCCTCCTCCCTCCTCCTCCTCCTCTCCTTCTCCTACTCCTCCTTTCGTTTCCTTCGCCGCCTCCCTGCCCCCGTCCTCCTCCTCCTCCTCCTCCTCCTCCTCCTCCTCCTTCCTCCTCCTCCTTCGCCTCCTCCTCCCCTTCTCCTCCTCCTACTCCTCCTCCTCCTCCTCCCTCCTCCTCCCCTCCTCCTCCTCTCCTCCTCCTCCTCCTCCGCCTCCCTCCTCCTTCTCCTACTCCTCCTCTTCATCCTTCGCCTCCTCCTGCCCCTTCCTCCTCCTCCTCATCCGCCTCCGCCTCCTCCCTCCTCCTCCTCCTCTCCCCTTCTCCTCCTCCTCCTCCTCCTCCTCCTCCGCCTCCTCCCTCCTCCTTCTCCTCCATTCCCTCCTCCTCCCACCTTCCCCTCCTCCTCCGCTCCTCCTCCTCCTCCTCCTCCTCCTCCTTCTCCTACTTTCCCTTCTCCTCCTTCGCCTCCCCTCCGCCCCCTTCCTCTCCCTCCTCCTCCTCCGCCTCCTCCTCCTCCTCCTCCTCCTCCTTCTCCTCCTCCTCCTCCTCCCCCTCCGCACCTTCTTCCTCCTCCTCCTCCTCTTCCTCCTCCTCCTCCTCCTCCTCCTCCTCTACCTCCGCCCTGGGCCACGCGCAGAGGGGCAGAGTTGCTGCACTAGGGGAGCGAACAATGACATAAACATAAGAACTCGGAGCTCCGCGCGGAGTTCTGGATCGGCGCCAGGGCCCCCTGGCGGCGCCTCCGGCGCCGCCCCTGGCGTGCTCCGCGCGCCAGGGAGGGGGGGTCCAGCGCCGATTCGAGAAATCCGCGCGGACCTATGAGTTTTGTGAATGTAATTGTTCGTCCCCCTACTTCGGCCACGTGCAGAGGGGGGAAGTTGATGCACGCCGCATGCATGCACGTGCATGTTTGCCACAGCACTGGTGCACAGCATCGTGTCGTATGCACTTGCTGTCTGTGTTCGCATACCGGTGCTATTTTTATTCGAGTCTTGACGAGCCCCAGCAGGGGCGAAACATTGACACGCGTATTGAAAAAGGCACGGGCTTAAGAGCGCCATACGAGGGGGGAATGCTTCTTAGACGCAGCCTCCTTCTAAGAAGCCTTCCCCCCTCCCCTTACCCTCCTGTGCGCGCCGCCAAAGCCTATGCACCCTCCCACCTCTTCTCCCAGGGGTAACGATGTGGGGGAATAGACACAGGGGGGATGCATCGACCCCGAATCGCCCATTGGTCGCCGATAGGGGGCCGATAGCCCCAGGCTCGATGCGGAGACAGACTTTCTCCACGCCGCCGGCGCCGATGCATTGCCGACGTCGCCAATGCATCGCCGATGCATCACCGATGCACCGGCGACGCGTTGGCGATGCGGCGCGATGTTCCGACCCCATCTACTCGGACCCAGTCTGGGTGGCCTCTCATGCACCACCACCCTTCCTCTTCTCGTGGTGCACCAAAGTCGCGACAGCCGACTTCTGGCAGTGTTTGGCCTTTTGGGGGGGGCCCTCGCCAAGCCCCAGGACCGTCAAGCAACGACCTGGGAAGAGAAGCCGTCCCAGGGGGGGTCCAGACCTTTGGACCCTGAGATCCGACGTCTCTATAAAATTGAGACGCCGTGAGAAATCGCGCCTGGAACCCTGGACCCTGCATCTCTGCGCCATTTTTCGAGCCGGATCGATCTGTGAGGGTCCCAGGGCCCGAAATTCGGCGAAAATGCCCGGCTCGAAAAAATCGAGTCGCCGTGGATCTCAGGGGAGGTCGCCGCTGCGACAAGGCAAAGTCGCCGCGCGAGTGGCGGTGGGGTTTGGGTTTTCTCTCGCTGGCTCCCCGGAGGTCTCCTTGCTATATGGGCTGCGCTCCGGCTGCGGCGCCTCGCCGAGGAGCGTTCTGGGGGCTGCCTGGAGAGCCTTCTCCTCCTCCTCCTCCTCCTCCTCCTCCTCCTCCTCCTCCTCCTCCTCCTCCTCCTCCTCATCCTCCTCCTCCTCCTCCTCCTCCCTCTCCTCTCCACCTCTCCCCCCCCCCTCCTCCCCTCCTCCTCCTCCTCCTCCTCCTCTCCTCCTCCTCCTCCTCCTCCTCCTCCTCCCTCCCTCCTCATCCTCCTCCTCCCTCTCCTCCGCCTCCTCTCTCTCCTCCTCCTCCTCCTCCTCCCTCCTACCTCCTCCTCCTCTCTCCTCCTCCTCCTCCTCCTCCTCCTCCTCCTCCTCCTCCTCCTCCTCCTCCTCCTCCTCCCCCTCCCCCTAGAGCATCCCGAGCGGCCCCCGGAGGCCCGAGCTGGACGGTGCTAGGACGAGGGTATAACTCCGTTCCAGGGCATGCGGGAGCGGTCTCAGAGCAGTCCGGACCTCAGTGCGCGCCGGGTACGCTGCGAGAAGGCGAGGGCGACCCGTACATCCTCCAGAGCCGCCGGATCTCAGGGATTTTCGTTTTGCGCCCACCCGAGTTTGTCCTCGTCATGGTTTCGGCTTACCGAGCTGTGGCCTCAAATGTACTGACAGAATCCCAGACTTCCAACGCATCGAGAAGATCAAACCGGAGGTTGTTCGTCGTTGTCGGCCTCGGGGGGCCGTCGCCGCGGTCCAGGACAGTCAAGAAACAACTCAGGATGAGAAGCGGGTCCCGACGGAACGGTCGGGACTTTGGGGGGACCCCGTGCAGCCAAGGCGTTCAGATAAGGTCCGCTTTGGGGTCGGAAAGGGGCTCGTTGTTCCTCGGATCCTTCTATGGCTGTCCCTCCAGCCCTCCTCGTGCACCCAGGCGCTGCTGGTGCCAGAAAGGGGATTCGTTCTTTAGTTTGGCGTTCCTTACGGCAGCAGCCCGATTGTATGGAAGAAATGAAGAAATCGAGCGCCTTGGATCTATTTTCCTCACCGCCACGCCTGGCGAGGGCCATCCTGGGCCCCGGGGCCCGGTACAGACCCTCCTGGCCTCGGCCAGGAGGGCGTGCACCGTGCTGCAGCCCAGGACAGCCACGGCGAGGCATGGTGGTAGTGCGTTGTGCGAGGTCCATCCTCAACAAGCTCACGCCCGAGAAGTTTGCCGAGCTGTCCCGGCAGGTGGTGGCCGTGGGCATGTCCACCACGACGCACGTGGAGACGCTGATCCATTCAAATGAAAAGCGACGTGCACATAAACTTTGAGAGCTCCGCGCGAGCTTCTTTTGATCGGCGCGGCCCCCCCTCCGTGGCGCACATGGCCTCCCCCTCCCTGGCGCGCGGGGGCTCCAGCGCCGATCCAAGAAGCCCGCGCGGAGCTCCGACAGATTATGTTTGCGCAGTTGCTTTGCTCCTACGAGGAGATGCTGATCCACGAGATCTTCGAGAAGGCCACGTCGCAGCACCACTATATCGACATGTATGCCGACCTGTGCGTCCTTCTGAGCCAGTACTTCGCGCTGAATCCGGTCGGGAGCGACCCGAAGTTCAGCTTCAAGCGGCTGCTCCTGCACGAGTGCCAGGCCAGCCTCGAGCCGCCTCCTCGTTGTCCTCCTCAACGCATCCCTCCTTCTGTAGTTTCGCAGGGGCTGGCCTGTCGATCGTTGGACTTGCACGGAGGATACGGTGAGCGCATTTGAGAATTAACCAGTGCATAAGGAATCTAGCTCGAGTCTGGAAGCGGTGGAACTCCAATCGTGGTATGGCCACAGGTGTCTTTGCCTCCCTCGTCAGATAAGGACTTCCAGGGTCTGAAGCCTCCCCATCGTATCATATCCGATTCGGATCTACTTCAAGCGCCTTGTGTCTTTCCCTTTCGATCGCCGAGTGGCCTCCCTTTCTCTTCCCCTTCTCCAAGGTGGGCCGAAGCCCAAGCTACCTCTAGCGCCTTCTGCCTCATGCTTCAATGCGCTTATTCCGACCAGCGCGCGAGGCAGTAGGGGTTGCGCCCCCCTCCCTCCCCCCTCGCCTTCACCGCCACTCCATGTATGGGTTTGTTCCATGTGCATGCTCTAGCGTTCCGAACCTTTTCCCAGTGGCCGCTTTTCAGCTCGAGTAAGCTTGAAGGCCACGGGGGCCGAGATGAAGCAGCCACCGGAGGCGGCAACATGCGAATGACGTCCGTCAGCCTTTTGAGACACATGTTGGGATTCCCAGCTCTCCTCGTTCTCATCCTCGCTTTGGAGGTTGCCAGAGTTGGTCTTTGTCCAAGGTGACCACCACCCCAGCTTTGCGCGCCATGTTGGAGCCCCTGGGGCCATCTGGGCCGCCCTGGGAAAACTGGTCACCTTGGGCCAGGGTCACATCTGCCGATGTCGTTCTCTTTCCCTCCCTGCTCTTGCACAGGTGCAGGGCACGGGGCAGTACCAGTTTGACAAGGATCTTTCCTCCATCCCTGAAATAGGCCCGTTCTGACAAGCATGTGTCCTCCATCTGTTTCAGTGTTGCACACAAATCCAAGTTCTGGCCACGAAAACTGCAGATGATCCACGCGGGAGCCTTGACTTGACAAGGAGCTGGCCTCCATCCGAGTAGCTGTTGCACAACGCGACACATCGAGCCATAGAAATTGAGGAGTTCCAAGCGAGAACAGCATTTTGAAAGCACGCGAAGTTCCATCATCGTAGCTGTTCTAATTGATGTATCGAGTATGCGCGGCGCTGAGACCCGAGCTGCATTTTGGATAACACCAGCCCTCCATCCTGCAGCTGCTACAAGCTTCTCAAACTAATTTGCGCGGCGCTAAGGGATAGGGCCGTTCTTCTGGAACCACCCGCCATCCATCCTAGCAGCTTGTGTAATCTTTTAAACGAATGTTCGCGGCGCTGAAG